TGTGTGTGTGTGTGTGTGTGTGTGTGTGTGTGTGTGTGTGTGTGTGTGTGTGTGTTCCTTGGTCACATTTTGTATAGTTGTTTTCTCATTTGTCATTAGGCTGTGTATAATATGCTTTTGGATCAACTTACCCAACCGCAAGGGCTGGACGGTAGAGCGACAGACGCGCTTCCTGCAGGTCGGCGTTCAATTCCCGACTGTCCACAAGTGGTTGGGACACCATTCTTTCCCCCCGTCCCATTCCCAAATCCTTATCCTGACCTCTTCCAAGTGCTATATAGTCGTAATGGCTTGGTGGTTTCTCCTGATAATTCCTTCCTTCCGTCCTCAGCTGGGGGCGTACCCCCCTACCCCCCTTCTGTTTTCTCCTTGGGGGATCATGGCGCCAAAAATATTGCGGTGTTTTATTTCAGATGAACAGGTTGCATGAACAGGGGGTGTGGCGGCCGCACGGAATGAACATTTGGCCATTACTGATGAGCTCAGGCTGGTCTAGTGAGGTTAGGTTAGGAGAGGCTACGTTTGGTTAGGTTAGGTTAGGTTAAGTTAGGTTTGGTTAGGTTAGGTTAAGTTAAGTTAGGTTAGGTTCTTGTTCATCGCGTATGACTGTTGCAATTTCCTTGTAGTGAAGAGAGGCTAAAGAACCTAGCGTCTGGCAGCGGTGTACCAACAATCCGTCCTCTTGAACAATACGTCACATTTTGACGTATAAATTCACCCCCCCCCCCCTCCCTCCCTACGGCCATAAACTGACCTACTACAAAAATCACAGCGGTTCGCAAAAATAACGTGATGTCTCGTTTTCTATACAAGGGTCCCCGGTTAGGTTCGGGCAATTTAGTACTTCAGTTTAGCGACGTTGTGAACGCCGGAGAGGACGGACTATCACGTGATGGGTCGTGATTGTAGAGTTAGGTTTGCTCGAATTTTATTGATGAAGCCTACTTTATTATGCCGCCCCTCCCCCCCCCCCTCCCAAAAAAAAAAAAAAATCATCCCGGAATAAGCCTTTGGCGGGTTTCCAGGACTCCCCCAAGGGAGTTACATGGACGACCGGCGAAAAATAAATTTAAATGTGAGAGCAGTAACGTAAAATTAGTGTTACTGCGTTAACACGCTGTATAAGGTGTTTCAGTAACGAGTAATGATGCGGTAATTCTATCAGATAGAATTTCATTGAGGAGGTCATCAAATGTAGAGGAAGAGGATAAGAAGGTTGGAAGAGCAATGCGAGTGGCAGCGCGGTCACCAAGGCCGCCGAGCCTGACAGGAAGAGTGGCTTGTTTCCACTGACAGTCATTGAGAGGAAGGGTGATAACTTTTTTCCAACGTGGTCTTCAGAAGATGTCATCCTCTTCAAGGTTTGGAGCTGATGTTTAGATGAGGCGCACCTCACTAAGTAGACTTTAGTCTGGGAAGGGAGAGATACCATACGAGTTGAGAAAATGTATTGTGAACATCGATGTCACCAATCCTCTCTTCTATCCTCTTTAATTAAGTCAGTGATTTTCTTTGCAAGGATATCGTCAATAGCGTTTGGCCTGAGAAGAGAGCCGAGAAGGGTGCTGGCTTCAGGCCTGATTATGTAAACTCCTTGTGCCACGGCCTTTACTTTGTTTACGGTGCTTGAGTTAGAGGAGACTCTTAGAAGGATTTAGTGCGAGGCTTCGATTTTCTCCCTGCTCCCTGAGTGTTGTGCTGGCCTCCAGGAGGGAATCTATACTGCATGATAAATGTTGTTTTCAAATTCATATTATGGTACGAAAGGTCACCTATTATAATTAAGATTGATAATTATGACTAGTTTTATCTTTTCTCTGGAATTAATTTTGTATCGTTGTTGTCATTCCGTCAGAGCTTGAGCGGCAGCAACCACGCCATCATCCAGTCCCTGATATACTCCATGGGCGGCCGCCCTGAAGTGCCCGCGCCCTGCTGCGTCCCTGACAAGCTCGACTCCGTGTCCATCCTCTTCCTGAGCGGGGAGAACGACTATGTTCTCAAGAGCTACCCTAAGATGAGCGTCACGTCTTGCAGCTGCCAGTGATGGCCAGCGTTCTCTCCTCTGAAGGAAGTTCCTGACTCCCTCTTACCGCGATAAACACCGCCTCAGCAAAAGGGCCGATCTTGAAGATAATGTGGGATGGGAGATGGTGGAAGGGGGATGAGGGGTCATCTGTCAACCGCTGTTCCTTATAGGTCTCGACTCTATATACCTGTCACGTTACTGGTTGTCCACTTTGAGCCCCATTATGTATTGGGTAATTGAGGGGAAATGAGCCGGTTCTCTTGGTTTCTTAAACCACACACCAACTGTCTTGTGTGTGTCTGTGTCTTCGGGAATGTCTTGACACATCAGAATATGTCTGTGCATGCCAAGCAGTAGTTTGACAGTTCTATTTCAATGTCTTATTATTAAACGCCTTCAGGTAGCAAAGTGTAGAGTAGTAGTGCCGGACACACTCGCTAGCAGTCAACTATCACCCACACCGCCCTGGCACTGGCACTCCCCAGCTTGGCATCGCTCAAGAGGCTTGGGGTCAGCAGCAGGAAACGTCAACTGCTCAAACATGTCGAGGGTTTGAACCCCACTAGAATATATATATGTACGTGTCTCAATTATATAAATGTTCTACATCAAACCTCACAGGTATTCAGGATGCTGTGAATACTTATACACTATGTATGAGCGGTCACTGGGGGGGGGGGGCTGTGCAGTCTTCTTCACTGTCACTAAAACGAAGTGAATCTCTGAATAGATATTGAAGCCGTACGGTGGTCTCGACTCCAAGTTCACGAACGCATGTTCGAGCACACTGTATAACCCCCTCAATATTTATTTATTACAGTCTTTTTAGTTTCAGAAGCAAATTACAAGGACTTTTGTAGCCATGCTTAAGATTCTACAGGACTCAAACTCTAAAATATATATAGTTTAACGCAAGTGATGATTTTCAGATGGTATGTTAGCCTGTTGATAGTTTGTTTAGTTCTGAAAGCGTATGTATGTTTGGAGATATAAGCAGTCATTGCAATTTTTAAGATGGAGTTTAAATGTCGAAATTGGTATAATATCATTATCAGAATATAAGCAGTATGATAAGAGGAAATATAAACATCTTCAAATATCTTATCATAATATTTATACTAAGATTTAAAAATCCCAAGAGGAAAACCCATTTCTGAATTAATTATCAGATATTTAAATCTTCACTTATTCTCTTTGCTTATTCATCATTAAGGAATCTAAACGACCTTGAATATGGAATGAATAAGGATGAATCATGGCTCTGTTGTACACGCTTGTTAGAGACCAATGTAAGGGACCAATGAGCTTCAGCTCATTGGTCCCACCTATCAACTGTCAGTCTACTGGTGTAGTACAGGTTCCTGAGCTTACAGAGCTCTTATACCCACATCTGAAACTGTCTATTTGGCTTCAACATTTATATTTATAGCGGGTATCGAACAGTGGAATTGATGTGGGAATCTTGCCAGCCAGTGAAAGGCAAAATTACTTACAAACGTGAATAATCAGATACTGTATAACACGGGTGCAACCATGAATGGTGTTGTCCCACGTGGCTTTGCAAGAGTAGTGGTGATGTTGATCAAGATGAGACCACCCGCCAAACACACAGCGAAACTGCGACGTTGGTACAACGTTCGAGCAAGTTTTAACACCACCTAACCAGTTATAACAACCAATATAGCAAGTTGTAACAACGTTCTAATATGTCATAAACACGTTAAGCCAAGATGTAACAACTTTATTTCAAGTTGTAACAAGCGGAAAATAGAGACAGTTTCGGTTTGTGTTTCCAGGGTGCAAAGCCGATATTGCAAATTACAATTACTTCCTCTCGGTCTGGTTGGAGCGATGCAACACTGTAGAACATTTCATCGCATTGCAACTGCGGCGAATTTTTTGTTGTTTTTGTATGTATATATATATAAATATATTGCAAGCGTTGATATATGATCTTTTGTGAATATTATTACTTCTGGCTTATTATTGAACAAAAGGAACACACACACACACACACACACACACACACACACACACACACACACACACACACACACACACACACACACACACACACACACACACACACACACACACAAATACTGTCAATGAGAGTCTATCTTAACAAAAAACAATTACAATACTGATGATGTAGTTATGGTCAGTTTTTACTCTGATGAGTTATACACCGTGCTGTACACTCTGATGAGTTATACACCGTGCTGTACACTCTGATGAGTTATACACCGTGCTGTACACTCTGATGAGTTATACACCGTGCTGTACACTCTGATGAGTTATACACCGTGCTGTATACTCTGATGAGTTATACACCGTGCTGTATACTCTGATGAGTTATACACCGTGCTGTATACTCTGACGAGTTATACACCATGCTGTATACTATACACCGTACTGTATACTCGGACGAGTTATACATCATGCTGTATACTATACACCATGCTGTATACTATACACCGTACTGTATACTCTGACGAGTTATACATCATGTTGTATACTATACGCCGTGCTGTATACTATACACCATGCTGTATACTATACACCGTACTGTATACTCTGACGAGTTATACATCATGTTGTATACTATACGCCGTGCTGTATACTGTACACCATGCTGTATACTATACACCGTACTGTATACTCTGACGAGTTATACATCATGTTGTATACTATACGCCGTGCTGTATACTATACACCACCGTGCTGAGGAATAAAACACTGATTTGTTGAATGTCATTCAGCCTAAAATTCTTGTTATTTTGTATCATTAAGGGAAGTATTTCAACCACTTTTTCTGCTTTAAAATTGCGTCCTCTTCTCTAGTGAGAACAATATAGTTTACACAGGTGGAAAAGTAGAGTAAGTATACAGGTATTGTAAGTTACCTGTCTAGTACTCTGCGGTTTACCTTCTGTGGTCAGCGGTTTATCTTCTGGGGTCAGAGGTTTACCTTCTGGGGTCTCTGGGGGCACCTTGTGTCTCTGGGACACCTTGTGTCTCTGGGGGCACCTTGTGTCTCTGGGGGCACCTTGTGTCTCTGGGGGCACCTAGTGTCTCTGGGGGCACCTTGTGTCTCTGGGGCACCTAGTGTCTCTGGGGCACCTTGTGTCTCTGGGGCACCTTGTGTCTCTGGGGCACCTAGTGTCTCTGGGGCACCTTGTGTATCTGGGGCACCTAGTGTCTCTGGGGCACCTTGTGTCTCTGGGGCACCTAGTGTCTCTGGGGCACCTTGTGTCTCTGGGGCACCTTGTGTCTCTGGGGCACCTTGTGTCTCTGGGGGCACCTTGTGTCTCTGGGGCACCTTGTGTCTCTGGGGCACCTTGTGTCTCTGGGGCACCTTGTGTCTCTGGGGCACCTTGTGTCTCTTGGGCACCTTGTGTCTCTCGGGCACCTTGTGTCTCTGGGGCACCTTGTGTCTCTGGGACACCTTGTGTCTCTGGTGCACCTTGTGTCTCTGGGGCACCTTGTGTCTCTGGGGCACCTTGTGTCTCTGGGGCACCTAGTGTCTCTGGGGCACCTTGTGTCTCTGGGGGCACCTTGTGTCTCTGGGGCACCTTGTGTCTCTGGGGCACCTTGTGTCTCTGGGGCACCTTGTGTCTCTTGGGCACCTTGTGTCTCTCGGGCACCTTGTGTCTCTGGGGCACCTTGTGTCTCTGGGACACCTTGTGTCTCTGAGGCACCTAGTGTCTCTGGGGCACCTTGTGTCTCTGGGGCACCTAGTGTCTCTGGGGCACCTTGTGTTTCTAGGGCACCTTGTGTCTCTGGGGCACCTTGTGTCACTAGGGCACCTTGTGTTTCTGGTGCACCTAGTGTCTCTGGGGCACCTAGTGTCTCTGGGGCACCTTGTGTGTCTGGGGCACCTAGTGTCTCTGGGGCACCTTGTGTCTCTGGAGCACCTTGTGTCTCTGGGGCACCTTGTGTCTCTGGGGCACCTTGTGTCTCTCGGGCACCTTGTGTCTCTGGGGGCACCTTGTGTCTCTGGGGCACCTAGTGTCTCTGGGGCACCTAGTGTCTCTGGGGCACCTAGTGTCTCTGGGGCACCTAGTGTCTCTGGGGCACCTAGTGTCTCTGGGGCACCTTGTGTCTCTGGGGCACCTAGTGTCTCTGGGGCACCTTGTGTCTCTGGGGCACCTTGTGTCTCTGGGGGCACCTTGTGTCTCTGGGGCACCTTGTGTCTCTGGGGCACCTTGTGTCTCTGGGGCACCTTGTGTCTCTGGGACACCTTGTGTCTCTGGGGCACCTTGTGTCTCTGAGGCACCTTTGTGTCTCTGGGGCACCTTGTGTCTCTGGGGGCACCTAGTGTCTCTGGGGGAACCTTGTGTCTCTGGGGCACCTTGTGTCTCTGGGGCACCTTGTGTCTCTGGGACACCTTGTGTCTCTGGGGCACCTTGTGTCTCTGGGGCACCTAGTGTCTCTGGGGCACCTTGTGTCTCTGGGACACCTTGTGTCTCTGGGGCACCTTGTGTCTCTGGGGCACCTTGTGTCTCTGGGGCACCTTGTGTCTCTGGGGCACCTTGTGTCTCTGGGACACCTTGTGTCTCTGGGGCACCTTGTGTCTCTGGGGCACCTTGTGTCTCTGGGGCACCTTGTGTCTCTGGGGGCACCTAGTGTCTCTGGGGGAACCTTGTGTCTCTGGGGCACCTTGTGTCTCTGGGGCACCTTGTGTCTCTGGGACACCTTGTGTCTCTGGGGCACCTTGTGTCTCTGGGGCACCTAGTGTCTCTGGGGCACCTTGTGTCTCTGGGGCACCTTGTGTCTCTGGGGCACCTTGTGTCTCTGGGGCACCTTGTGTCTCCGGGGGCACCTTGTGTCTCTGGGGCACCTTGTGTCTCTGGGGGCACCTAGTGTCTCTGGGGGAACCTTGTGTCTCTGGGGCACCTTGTGTCTCTGGGGCACCTTGTGTCTCTGGGGCACCTTGTGTCTCCGGGGGCACCTTGTGTCTCTGGGGCACTTTGTGTCTCTGGGGGCACCTAGTTTCTCTGGGGGAACCTTGTGTCTCTGGGGCACCTTGTGTCTCTGGGGCACCTTGTGTCTCTGGGGCACCTTGTGTCTCTGGGGCACCATGTGTCTCTGGGGCACCTTGTGTCTCACCTTGTGTCTCTGGGGCACCTTGTGTCTCTGGGGCACCTTGTGTCTCTGGGGCACCTTGTGTCTCTGGGGCACCTTGTGTCTCTGGGGCACCTTGTGTCTCTGGGGCACCTTGTGTCTCTGGGGCACCTTGTGTCTCTGGGGCACCTTGTGTCTCTGGGGGCACCTAGTGTCTCTGGGGGAACCTTGTGTCTCTGGGGCACCTTGTGTCTCTGGGGCACCTTGTGTCTCTGGGGCACCTTGTGTCTCTGGGGCACCATGTGTCTCTGGGGCACCTTGTGTCTCTGGGGCACCATGTGTCTCTGGGGCACCTTGTGTCTCTGGGGCACCTTGTGTCTCTGGGGCACCTTGTGTCTCTGGGGCACCTTGTGTCTCTGGGGGCACCTAGTGTCTCTGGGGCACCTTGTGTCTCTGGGGCACCTTGTGTCTCTGGGGCACCTTGTGTCTCTGGGGCACCTTGTGTCTCTGGGGCACCTTGTGTCTCTGGGGCACCTTGTGTCTCTGGGGCACCTTGTGTCTCTGGGGCACCTTGTGTCTCTGGGGCACCTTGTGTCTCTGGGGCACCTTGTGTCTCTGGGGCACCATGTGTCTCTGGGGCACCTTGTGTCTCTGGGGCACCTTGTGTCTCTGGGGCACCTTGTGTCTCTGGGGCACCTTGTGTCTCTGGGGGCACCTAGTGTCTCTGGGGCACCTTGTGTCTCTGGGGCACCTTGTGTCTCTGGGGCACCTTGTGTCTCTGGGGCACCTTGTGTCTCTGGGGCACCTTGTGTCTCTGGGGCACCTTGTGTCTCTGGGGCACCTTGTGTCTCTGGGGCACCTTGTGTCTCTGGGGGCACCTTACACTCAGACAGGGGCAGTCTGCCAAAAACCTTCCACAGTTTGTGTTATACCTCAATATTTACAATTTAAGTGATGTGACATATAATTACAGTAGTAGAAATTTGCTGTTACTTTGAGTAGCCTAGCTGTAAGGTCAGTACTGTATTTGTTAAATTTGATGTATTAATGTGTAAATGTATCATTCGTGTTAATACAGTGCTAAAGATATTTTATAAAGAGGTACACTGAATTATGTGTAAGTAGTAATAACTTTTTATACTCATTTTCTCCCATAGGCCTCCGACTGGAAGTATAGGAGGAGGCCAGCACGGGGAAAAATAGTGGGTGTTCCTAGAGATATGTTCACGTAGAATAAATTCATTCTTTGAGTGAGAGCGTGTGGGTTAAACTGTAGCCTAATGTAGAGAGAGATTACGTTTGGCTCAACAATAAAGATTTATGGTAAGAGATTAAGAGACGTGAGAGCGATGAGGCTACTGTTTATAGGTGCCATGTAATATATATGTTTTTGTTTTTGATAGTTAGAAGCGTAGGTGTAGAGCAATGTGCTGCTACTCTAATCTATATAAGGGATTGCAGAGTATATAGGTCCTGTAACCCTTGTATTTTGTAGTGTCTGCACTTCAACCTGATAATTGCTTGTCAATTCTAGCCATCGTACCATCATTATTTGTTCAACAGATTTTTGGCTGAAAATGTAGACAATTGAAACCAATTCTCAAACAGGCTATTATAATGATTAAGTGCTTTTGTATTGAAAACTGGAACAACTTCTGAAAGGAACGTTTCAAGATGAGCCACAAGCTGCACTAGTGATCTCTTATCAAGTCTATAACATTTCATTGTTTAGCATTTTAATTTAACATTGATAAGTATATTGAGAGGCCTCTTTTTTTGGTAGTGTGACATTCTTTTGAAATCTTAAAAGATCTGTTTTGTTTAGTAGAATATTTTAATTCAGGAAGTATAGAATCTCAGTACGCATTCCAGTATATATCTTGTTTTAAAGAATCAACGTATCAATGATATATGTCAATATTTTTTTTTTAGCAGCGCTAGAACTTCGGAAATTATTTTTCATTCATGCAAAATATATTCTGTCGTAATCCTTCCTCATCTTTCCTTTTACTCACAAATGTGCAATAGTAGTTTTCTGTACATGTGCCACAATAAAATCAGCGTTTCGGTTTTAGACATTGGCAAAACACACACACACACACACACACATGAGGCGGGACCAAAGAGCCAGAGCTCAACCCCCGCAAACACAACTAGGTGAGTACACACACACACACACACACACACACACACACACACACACACACACACACACACACACACACACACACACACACACACACACACACACACACACACACACACAACTCCATGTAACTCCTGTACTTTGACATTACCTGTTTGTTTGTTTTTTAGAATACAGTGTACATGAAAATAATCTTTTTTTTCACCTTAGCACATTCTCGTTCATATCTCAGGTTGTATTTCGTAAGCTTAATTTGTTTTCATTTCTGGTGAGTTTTGCTTCCAAAATGTATCGAAGCACATTTGTTAATGGCTTTGTTTATAAATATCAACTTAAACAATATCAGGATATTTAATGTTCCCTTACAACGTTTTCATCATAGAACAGTATTTACCTATCTTACATTTGTATTAAAAGAGCAGGATCAAGTTGAAATGCAAAATTTGATTGAACTATGCTTTTAAAATATATAAAATTGTAACTGGGCTAGATATTAATATGATAAAATAAAGCTTTTTCGACATATGAAAGTAGTTTCCTGAATATATATGTTGATACATACCTGAAGAGTCAGGAAGGTGTTTGACCCAAGAGTTCTTCAGTATTCCATGTTTACTTTTGCTTAAAATTGGTGTTACGTGCACAACTTCTCCCCCACAGATGGTCATTAATATTTATATCTGATATAGGTTCAGTATTTGTCTTTCGATTTTCAAAAACTTATGAGTTTTGTAACTGATGTCATTCCTTATCAAACTAATATGCTTACATCCTCATTTTCTTTAACATCTAACTTCTTCATTATTTGCTTTGGTATTATAGTATTTATTAAATCACTTTCATGTTCTGGTATTTTAAATTTGAATGTCAAGTTTTATTGTAATATTAGAATATACAGGTATTTTTTTATTTTGTTTTTAATTTAGCTAAAATCAAATTTATACTATCAATAAATATCTCTTGTCTTGTCGTTTTAAGATTTTGTGATTAGAATTACATTACTGTGTTTGAAAATATTTTTGTCATTAAGATTGATTCTAGATAAAAAAAAACTATATTCATTTATTGCTAAACTACAATTTTACAGCAGCAAAAACTGACCTCCACAGTAGAGGAAATTTTCATAAATCCAGTTTTTGTTTTTCTAGAAATGTAGATATAAAGGTGGATTATCACCTTTGTTAATTAGGAATGGAATTTGTTATATGTTCTTTATTAAATAACAAGCTGTGAAGATAATAAAGTCAAATTTGTTAAAATTACAGTAACAATTGTAACTAATGTGAATCATTAATATAATTAAATGTTAGCATTGTTAATTATAATACAGTACCTATCAGCTCTCCACTGATAAATAGTGTAATACAACTGAACAAAAACTGTAACTGAGTTTGGGTTTTTATTTTTAGGTGTGGTCAGTAAATTAGTTATATTTAATACAGAAAATGTTAGTTATATTATTGAAATAATGAAATTCGGTCTGAATAAAGATGACCCAAAATTCAGCACACCATGTAATTTGCCAGGGAATCTAAATACCCCGGCTCCTGACAGCAGGATGTAAGTTACCTGATGGCATAGCATAGTGGTCAGCGCAGTTAGCTCACAACAAAATGGGCCCGGGTTCTATTCCGCGGCAGGCCTAAATGTTTAGGCATACCTCTGTACCCCCTAGCCGTAAATAGTTACCCACCAAAGAGTTAAGGAACGGTTGTGTGGGGGGTCACATCCTGGTGGAAGGGCAGTCGTTATAGGCTTACGGTAACTTATAATATAGGTAAAGCAATAACAGGCTTCCTGTCCCTGATGCTTGGAAGCCACCTCTTGCCAGTGTGTCGTACGTATAAGACACATTTCGGTGGCTACCTTGAGGTGCTTCCGGGGCTTAGTGTCCCCGCGGCCCGGTCGTCGACCAGGCCTCCTGGTTGCTGGACTGATCAACCAGGCTGTTAGACGCGGCTGCTCGCAGCCTGACGTATGAGTCACAGCCTGGTTGATCAGGTATCCTTTGGAGGTGCTTATCCAGTTCTCTTTTGAACACTGTGAGGGGTTTGCTTCAGTGTTTGATCACAATTTTCTTATATGAAGTGGTATCATTTTGTATCATAATGTAATTTTGTTTATTTCTGGTACACTACAGTACAGTACCTGTACTTAGCATAGAGTACAAAGACTTACACTTGTATAGAAGTTAGTCAAACATCATCACCGCATCTTACTGAATTAGTCATAGATTTGTCTGTTTTCAAATTAAATATCAATTAGCCACGAAAATATTATTTTAACCTCTCTTTATGCTGTAAACATTTTCATTAGATAATATCGATATGTAATTTCTGTCTTAAAATGCCAGACAATGAAATTTTGTTAGCCAGTTTCCAGGAATTTGGCCAAATATATGACTAGATTAATTATTTACACTAGATTATATATACACAAAGTGCAGCCCAAGATTCACTTGAAATGTTGCTGATAATCTTGATAAATCTATGTTACATTTATCTTTATGTCTGATATACAATTGTCCACACTGAATGCAGAATGGTACTTATAGAATTATCAAGTGCTTATATAGTCTTTTTGAGCTGATATTGTTCTCACCAATATATTAGGTAAAAGTTCTACTTACATCATTCTTCTTTTTTAGAGAGATTTAATAAAGCATTTATTTTTTAATTAGTAAAATAACATCAGTAGGCTCATACTAGTATATTCGGTCCTTAAATAAAACTGTTCCTGTAGGTGTGTATAGTACAGAAGCATTATGTCTGTGTATAAGACAAAAGTCTTCTTGATTGTCAATGCAAAAATAAAATAATCTACCTTAAGTGATTTGTAAATTTTCATTTATCTAATCGTAAAGGCCAAACATGCCAGAAGAGAAGTCTGCAGTTTAATAGTATCAAGCACAGAGGCAGGCGTTTATTTAATAATAATAATATAATTTAAAGTGGGCAGCAACACATCGAAGCAACAGGACATGTCGGAGACGCGTTGCAGACACGTTGCAGACACGTCTGGGCTTTGCAACCTGACAAACGTTTCGGTTCGTGTGTGATTAAGTAAGTATAGTTACAGGATGAGAGCTACGCTCGTGGTGTCCCGTCTTCCCAGCACTCTTTGTCATATAACGCTTTGAAACTATTGACGGTCTTGGCCTCCACCACCTTCTCACTTAACTTGTTCCAACCGTCTACCACTCTCTTTGCGAAAGTGAATTTTCTCATATTTCTTCGGCAACTTTGTTAAGTTAGTTTAAATCTATGACCTCTTGTTCTTGAAGTTCCGGGTCTCAGGAAATCTTCCCTATCGATTTTATCAATTCCTGTTACTATTTTGTACGTCGTGATCATATCACCTCTTTTTATTCTGTCTTCTAGTTTTGGCATATTTAATGCCTCTAACCTCTCCTCGTAGCTCTTGCCCTTCAGTTCTGGGAGCCACTTAGTAGCATGTCTTTGCACCTTTTCCAGTTTGTTGATGTGCTTCTTAAGATATGGGCACCACACAACTGCTGCATATTCTAGCTTTGGCCTAACAAAAGTCGTGAACAATTTCTTTAGTATATCGCCATCCATGTATTTAAAAGGAATTCTGAAGTTAGAAAGCGTGGCATAGGCTCCTCGCACAACGTTTTTATGTGGTCCTCAGGTGATAGTTTTCTGTCTAGAACCACCCCTAGATCTCTTTTTTTTTATGTGTGTGTGTGTGTGTGTGTGTGTGTGTGTGTGTGTGTGTGTGTGTGTGTGTGTGTGTGTGTGTGTGTGTGTGTGTGTGTGTGTGTACTCACCTATTTGTGCTTGCGGGGGTTGAGCTTTGGCTCTTTGGTCCCGCCTCTCAACTGTCAATCAACTGGTGTACAGACTCCTGAGCCTACTGGGCTCTATCATATCTACATTTAAAACTGTGTATGGAGTCATCCTCCACCACATCACTGCCTAATGCATTCCATTCGTTAACTACTCTGACACTGAAAAAGTGTGTGTGTGTGTGTGTGTGTGTGTGTGTGTGTGTGTGTGTGTGTGTGTCTGTCTGTCTGTCTGTCTGTCTGTCTGTCTGTCTGTCTGTCTGTCTGTCTGTCTGTCTGTCTGTCTGTCTGTCTGACTGTCTGTCTGTCTGTCTGCGTGTGTGTGCGCGTGCGCGCGTGAGGAAAAACCACATGTGAAAAATCAGAGAATGCTAAACGTTTCGGCTCAATTTGCCTTCATGTGAGCCAAATAGAGGGTGGTTAGGTTAGGTTACATTCTTTACTTTGCTTTGATGAAGGCGAAGTGAGCCGAAAACACGTGCAGCATTCTCGAATTTTTTCACATGTGGTTTTCCGCATGCTTGGATCAGTATGTTTGTGATCGTTGCTGTTTATATATATATATATATATATATATATATATATATATATATATATATATATATATATATATATATATATATATATATATATATATATATATATATATATATATATATATATATATATATATATATATATATATATGTATATATATATATATATATATATATATATATATATATATATATATATATATATATATATATATATATATATATATATATATATATATATATATATATATATATATATATATATATATATATATATATATATATATATATATATATATATAAACAAACTATATCAATACGAAATAAATTTAATATTACTGTATATTTTAGTTCATGCTATTTTTTTTTAATAATACAGTTGACGTTTATTGAGAACTGATAATTTGTTGTTCAAAATAAAGCTTATTATTATTATTGTTATTATTATTATTATTAAACAAAAGAAGTATAAATGGTGTTCTTGGTGAATGCAAAATATGTTTAATTTATATATTTTTAATATTAATTAAAACGTTTAAAACGATCACTAAACGTTTAATAAAGAATATTTGATTTATAATGTTTTCAGTCAACGTTTTTAATAATGTTTTCAGTTTTTGTCCAGTCGAAATATAATGTTTTTGTCTGGTCAAAGATAAGGCATTATTTTTGTAAAGTCAAAGATAAGGCATTATTTTTGTAAAGTCAAAGATAAGGCATTATTTTTGTAAAGTCAAAGATAAGGCATTATTTTTGTAAAGTCAAAGATAAGGCATTGTTTTTGTAAAGTCAAAGATAAGGCATTATTTTTGTCCATTCAAAGATATAGCATTGATTTTTGCCCAGTCAAAGATAAGGCATTGTTCTTACATTTGCCTAATCTTATTTATGTTACAGTGTCTATATATTTGTATCATAAAACAGATCTTTATATATTGATGCAAGAAAATTAGTTTCTATACTAATTAATACCTGCATTTCTTAAGCATGGTTTCTCCCCCTCTCTCTGTCTCTCTCCCTCTCTCTCTCTCTCTCTCTCTCTCTCTCTCTCTCTCTCTCTCTCTCTCTCTCTCTCTCTCTCTCTCTCTCTCTCTCTCTCTCTCTCTCTCTCTCTCTCTCTCTCTCTCTCTCTCTCTCTCTCTCTCTCTCTTTCCGATGTACTTGACCCTTCTCCAGTTTGGATTTAAACTTCATCACAGTTGTAGCTTTTCTCCTTATTAACTGCTCTTAAGGAGAATGTGAAATAATATAAATAGTTTTTCCTCCCTCAACACCTGAAATTGAACGTCTTGTATCCGGCTCGAGGTCCAGAACTCATGTGTTTATTTATATAATCTATGGAGATGACTCAGGTGTTTATTTCTTGAAGAAGAACATTCTCTTTCTCCTCATATATGGTGTCGTCACATATATACTTCATATAATGTGTTGCCGGCAAATATACTTTAAGTCAACCTT